TATTTAATAAACTCGGTGTTGCTTGATTTCTATTCTAACTATGCAACATTACACAAGAATAAACAAATGAATCTTGTGTCATGACGCCCATTTCTCATTAACAAATCCCCACAACACTCTTCGTCAGGGGTGGCCAACCCTGTTCCTGGAGAGCCACCTTGCTGCAGATTTCAGTTGCTACCCATATCAATCACACCTGAACCAATTAATTAGGACTTGAACAGTACTTGATAATTACAGGCAGGTGTGTTTGATATGGGTTGCAACTGAAATCTGCAGGAAGGTGGCTCTCCAGGAACAGGGTTGGCCACCCCTGCTCTACGTCAAGGAAATCGTGCCGAAATCGTGACAATTGTGTGTGATCTGACCAAGGCTTTATTCAAAAGTTGTGTAGCTCATGTATTTCCTCCATGTATTTAATAAACCACTAGTATCTGCCATTTTATATTATTGCCAACTGCTTTAAACGAATCCCAATTCCGCCAAAATTGCTGCATCCCAAATGAAAACACTAAATCTAAAGAGTTGCTTCATGTTGCACACACTTTATCCAAACATGCAAAACATGTACCTTAGATAATAAACAGTCCTGAACCTCAGGGTTTTGCTCAAATGCTACTTCAGCATCCAGAACCAACACGGGCACTTTCATCAGCTGCTCGAAATGAAGCCTGTGTGCAGAGAGAGAAGAGCACAAATCAAGCTCTGGTCTCCTCCACACAATACACAGCCCACAATCAGCAGCATTCTGAGTGTTACTCAAAGACCCAGTTCACCCAAAATATGTGAAAAAACTATTAAAGGCTCCATCCGAAAACTTATCAGCTGACAGTCTGACAGCCATCAAAACTAAAAAACATCTTGTGGGAAATTGTTTGAGATGGCAGTAAAGAGACTGACGTGGTAGTCTTGTTGATGAGCCAGTCTTCATGTCTGGTGTGCAGTTTCTCCAGGTAATCCAGCTCGATCTCTTGTTCCTCTACTCGAGCACGCCTGTTTAACCTCTCCAGACACATCTGCACAACAACAATCAACATTCATTTAAGGTTTAGAATCCATCCATATCTATTTGTCCTTTCTGTTCATCTATCCATCTGTCTGTGCACCTATCAAGCCATTGGTCCATTTATCCATCCATCCATCCATCTATTCGTCCATCCAACTGTTCATTCAACCATTAATTAGCCTATCTGTCTATCCATTTGTCTATGCATCCGTACATCCATCAATTAATCTGTTTGTCCATCCATCCATCCATCCATCTGTCCATCCATTAATCTATCTGTCCATCCATCCATCCATCCATCCATCAATTGGTCTATCTGTCCATCCATTTGTCTATTTATCCGTACATCCATCAATTAATCTATCCGTCCATCCATCTATCCGTCCATCCATTAATCTGTCTATCCATCCATTAATCTATCCATCCATCTATCTATCTGTCCATCCATTTGTCTGTCCATCAATTAATTTATCCGACTGTCCATCCATCCATCCCTCCATCAATCCATCCATTTGTCTATGCATCCGTATGTCCATCAATTAATTCATCAGACTGTCCATCCATCCACGTATTAATTTGCCCATCCATTAATCTATCATTCAATCTATCTATCCGTCCATCCATCTGTTTATCCATCTAACTGTCTGCCTATCAATCAATCCATAAATTTGTCTGTCTGTCTATCCATCCATCCATCAATTGGTCTATCTGTCCATTTGTCTCTGCATCCGTCCATCCATCCATCCACCCATCTATCTCTTAATCCATCCATGTATTAATTTGCTCATCCATCCATCCATCTATCTATCAATCAATTCATAAATGTGTCTGTCTATCCATCCATTCATCCATCCATCAATTGGTCTATCTGTGTCCATTTGTCTCTGCATCCGTCTATCCATCCATCCATCCATCCATCTCTTAATCCATCCATGTATTAATTTGCCCATCCATCCATCTATCTATCTATCAATCAATCTATAAATTTGTCTGTGTCTATCCATCCATCCATCAATTGGTCTATCTGTGTCCATTTGTCTCTGCATCCGTCTATCTATCTATCTATCTATCTATCTATCTATCTATCTATCTATCTATCTATCTATCTATCTATCTATCTATCTATCTATCTATCCATCCATCTATCTATCTATCCATTTGTCTTTCAAATGGTTGTAATTATTTGAGTTTCTTCCTTCTGTTGAACACAAAACAAGATGCGCTGAAGAATGTTGGGTAAAAAGCAGCCATTGACATCCATAATAGGAACTAAAAATACAAAGGAAGTCAATGGCAGCTCTCCAGAGTATTGTTCATTTCAGCAGCACATCGATGACAGTGATGTAGCTAAAAAGTATTAAAACCACCATCAGTATGAACGGTAGCAGTGCAGACCTGTGGAGAAGCGCGCAGGTAAATGATGCCCTCCAGCTGAACCCGATGCCCAAACTGCTCAATGAGGAACGAGTGCCAGTCCTGATACACAGCCCACTCGGTGGAGTTTATACAGCCCAGAGCAAACATGTTCAGAGCGAAGATATACCTGAGAGAACAACACACACATGGACATGCAACAGGTAAAATGAACAGCTCTGACCATAAAACCCTTGAGTGTGATCAGTGATTATACCTGTCACTATAGACGGAGCGCTCATACACACGCACCGCTCCTCCTCTAGACCGCAGGAGTGTGTCCGGCAGCGGCTGCAGCTGTGTGCGCAGACGGCTCATGCAGGAGAAGCTCTGGAAGGTGTAGGACCAGCGCTTCGGGTCACGATACATCATCTCCAGCAGGTTACTGGTGCACGGCTGAGGACTGGACGCTGTCTGATGGAGAGTAAACAAACAGCACAAGAGACTTTAAAGTGCAATTTTCTTTCAATGTTTGACGTAAACTCAAATTAAACACGAAGAGAGAGGTTGGTTATGATTTGATGAGAAACTGAAGTATGAGGTGACGTGAATACAACTGTTGATCCATTTAGGCTTGACAAACTGCAAGCTTAACATGTTTATATCCGTGTTATATCTTCTAAATGCAAATTCTGTTAATGTTTTAGAGCACACTAGCTAATAGACATCCTAATAACATACAATATTGACACTAACAAATTTAAAAAAAACTTTATTTTAATTTCATGGGACGTTTAATAACTTTACACATTTGGGGTTTACGTCTCACAATGATGAGAAATAAGTTGCAATGATCTTTTTTTAATTGTTTTACTCAGGCTTCCATACGGCACTGATTTTAGGACTGTGTTTTCCACTGACCGGAGGTGTTTGGTCCACATTCTGCCATTTGCTGACAGGCTCCGCAATCACATCCCAGTCAGGACAGGCGTTCTGGAGCAGTCGAGCGAAGGTGGACTTCCCAACCGCTTCACACACACAAAAAACAGCACTTTACAATGACAAAACAAGATAAACCCAGTACCAATGTTTCACTGTCAACAGCTGGGATTTATTTTTCTCAGCTTTACTTGATGAATAAAGATCAGAGGAACTGATTTTTCTGAAATAGAAACCTTCTAAATGACTTTATCAATCCTTTTGATAAATTTAACGCATCCTTGCTAAAAAAAATTCTATTATAAATCATTTACAAAAAACATTTAATTTAGTATAGTACACAGACACACACATTATTTATGTTTATATAGTATGTTGTGTGTTTATACAATATACATTTAACATAATTATTATAGGTATAATGTTACAAAACCTTTATATTTCAATTAAATGCTGATTTTAAAAAAAATCTTATCAAATCACAGAAAACATATGGCTTTACAATAACAACACTGGGAATATTATTATAGTACCGACACATTTACACCAAATAAACTTGTAACTGAGCTGCTCACGAGGGAATTAGTGTAAAATGGCAAACGTTATTCCACAAATTACCTAAATTCAGTAAACTTATCGTTTTATACATAACATTAGCGTTGTGTCTCATTTAAGCAGTATGATTTACAAAATAACAACATCGCTGACGTTACAAGAGCAAAACAACGTTACCAATATTTCCTTCGATTGAGACTCGTTTTATGTAATTGTTTGTACTCATGAGGTTCCTCGGTGAACAGAAAAGAGCAGAGCTCGATAAAAGACGCTTTGCCGTTTTTATAATCATCCCTGAGGAAAAATAATATTTACATCTCTAAAAAAAAACACGAGACTATTTTGACAAGTTTACATGAGTCAAGCGGCTTAGCCAAAGCGTGTTTCCGGCTGAGGAATGTTTAGTTTCAAAATAAAAGCACTAGGAACTAACCTCGCAACAACGTTGAGTACTTAAATACCACATACATACATAAGTGTATGTATATATATATATATATATATATATATATATATATATATATATATATATATATATATATATATATAAAGTTTGTTTCAGAAGAGATGCTCTTTAAATTCACAATAATATATATATATATATATATATATATATATATGTATATATATATATATATATATATATATATATATATAATTTATTTATTTTTTTAAACAGTAAATAGTCTTGATAGCAAAGATGCTCTTTAGATATAAAATAAAAGTCTTTTACTGACCTCGCAACAACGTTGAGAATAAAATACCTTAACAATAACTTTGTAACACTTTAAAATAATAGTTAATGCAACATATCTGAATTATTTTATGCACACATTATATATATATTTTTTTTTTCCAACAATGTACTATATTATTTAAATAAAATTTTAATGTAGTCTTGACTAATTTTAACCGACATAAGACAAGATGCTTTTTAGATTCAAAATAAAAGTCCCTTTGAAACGCATCAACCTCACGACAACGTTGAGAGAACAAAAAATCTATCACAATAACTCCTTTCTAACACGTTGAAATGATACAATTAATGCAACATGCATATGAATTATTAAAAACTCATATTGTTGTATTCAAAGTAAATAGTAATCTTGACTATCTTTAACCGATGTAATAACAGAACAAGACGCTCTTGTAAAAATGTTCTAAAATTTATTTTTTAACTACAAATAAAACACACCAGATGTGTCCGTTGTGCTCTAGATATTGCTTTAAAAGTAGATTTATCTACTACATGGGGGGAAAACATTGTAATAATCTTCATTATTGATTATGCATTCACAGAGAAAGGAAAACATATAAAAATGACGTTTGTCTCAACTTACAAAACAACAACAAAAATTAATATTGACATTTCCCCAAATCCTTTACTTCCAAACATTATAAAAGGACGAGACTAAAAACAGCTGATTTAGTTTTACTTTCATAAAAAAACAAACTCTGACATAGTTTCATATCCTAATCCACCAGCAATACATGTCAAAAGTAAAGTTTACAGTGTAATACTGACAACGAAAACTGACAAAAACAGAAACACACACACACACACACAAAGATTTCACAAAGTCTCCTTCTACAAGCTTTGAGGAAGCACAGCTGAGATATTGCAAAGACAATCAGAGTGCAGAAACGGCACTTTCAGGTCCCGAAACGAGAACAGAAGAAACATGACTGTATTAAGGCTGACCAATGTGGCATAAACAGCAATGTCTATCTATCCTTGCTGCCCAGTTTCTCGATGAGGTCCTGCAGGGGTGCCAGCTCTCTGCGGTCGATCAGATTGAACTCCTGAAAACAACAATTAACAGCAGAGTATTGGATGAAACGGCTCAGAAAGTGCCCCTTGTACACTACTGGTCAAACATTTTAGATCAGTAAGGTTTGTTATAAGGCTGCACGATATTTTACATTGCGATATTTCTTTCTTTTAGCGCTATATATTGCGATATAAATACAAATTCACCAGATGACTTCAACAGATCTATTTGCCAAGTCATTACTTTAGATGAATTGGGTTGATTTTGTAGGGGGGGGGGTGGAATACACTTACCGGCCACTATATTAGGTACACCTGTCAAACTGCTTGTTAACGGAAATTTCTAATCAGCCAATCACATGGCAGCAACTCAATGCATTCAGGCATGTAGACATGGTCAGGATGATCTGCTGCAGCAAAGCGAGCATTGGAATGGGGAAGAAAGAGGATTTCAGTGACTCTGAATGTGGCATGGTTGTTGGTGCCAGACGGGCTGCTCTGAGTATTTCAGAAACTGCTGATCTACTGGGATTTTCACGCACAACCATCTCTAGGGTTTACAGAAAATTGTCTGAAAAAGAGAAAATATCCAGTGACCGGTTGTTATGTGGGCACAAATGCCTTGTTGATGCCAGAGGAGAATGGCCAGACTGGTTCCAGATGATAGAAAGGGAACAGTAACTCAAATAAGCACCTTCTGATGGATACTTCCAGCAGGATAACGCACCATGTCATAAAGCGTGAATCATCTCAGACTGGTTTCTTGAACATGACAATGAGTTCACTGTACTCAAATGGCCTCCACAGTCACCTGAACTCAATCCAATATAGCACCTTTGGGAAGTGGTGGAACGGGAGATTGGCATCATGGATGTGCAGCCGACAAATCTGCAGCAACTGTGTGAGGCTATCATGTCAGTATGGAGCAAAATCTCTAAAGAAAATATTATTAGTATCTTGTTGAATCTACGCATCGAGGGATTAAGGCAGTTCTGAAGGTAAAAGAGGCTCAAACCCAGTACTAGTAAGATGTACCTATTAAAGTGGCCGGCATTATATCATGTCTTGTAAGGGGTATGCAACATGCTTTTATGCAAGAAAAATTTCAGAAATAAGCCTGACAATAAAGTTTGTATTGTATTGCTGTTTTTTTAATTAATAAAAAAATAAAAATGTATAAACAAAAGTGTTCTAAAACATTTGACCAGGAGTGTACTTATTAAAAATAAACTGTGTGTGTGTGTGTGTTCATACACTGACCTGTACAAAGAAGATAAAATGCTTGAAGGAGGTGTTAAGATGAGCCTCCTCCTGCAGCTGTATGACCGCGTCGAAATGCTGGTGGTAGATGTGAGCGTAAACTCTGAACAGACGCTTCAGGATCGTTTTAGCCACTGACATAAAGTTCTTGGGGAAAGGGACACCTGGAACAAGTAAAAAGATTGTATGAAAAGGTTTCACTGCACCTCTGTGTTCATAACCAATGTAACCATACAAACCAATCTTAGACGGGAAGAGAGTTTCATCATCCAGCTGATCCTGAACCCAAGTCATCAAGTAGTCGATGTATTTGGGAGCAGAACACTTGATGGGTTTCTTGATGTTGGTGCCGTCTGCCCAGTGGTACTCATACCTGTCCATTTTATTAAGAGATTTAATTTCAGGTAAAATATGTACTTTTGTATGTACCAACAAAAAAATATATCTTTGAGTTAATTTGGGTATGTTAACATTCTTGAGGAACATTGATTAAATGTACACTGTCCCTTTTTGTGAAATAAATAAGCTTAAAACTAAAAAATTCATTTACACACCACTCGCATTTATCAAACCTTTATGAGTTTCTTTCTTCTGTTGAATATAAAAGATGCAGACTATTTTCTACTATGGGAGTCAATGGTTACCGGTTTTCAGCATACTTCAAAACATCTTATTTTGTGTTCAACAGAATAAGTCTTTTTTCCTACTATGAGAGTCAATGGTTACCGGTTTTCAGCATTCTACAAAATATCTTCCTTTGTGTTCAACAGAATTTAAATTTTTTACTACTATGGAAGTCAATGGTTACCGGTTTTCAGCATTTTTCAAAATATTTTCTTTTGTGGTCAACAGAATAAGATTTTTTTTCTAATATGAAAGTCAATGGTTATCGGTTTTTAGCATTCTACAAAATATCTTCCTGTGTGTTCAACAGAATTTAAATTTTTTACTAATATGGAAGTCAATGGTTACCGGTTTTCAGCATTCTTCAAAATATCTTTTGTATTCAATCGAAAAACTTTTTTTCCTACTATGAAAGTCAATGGTTATCGGTTTTTAGCATTCTACAAAATATCTTCCTGTGTGTTCAACAGAATTAAAATTTTTTCCTACTATGAAAGTCAATGGTTATCGTTTTTCAGCATTCTTCAAAATATCTTCTTTTGCGTTCAACAAAATAACTTTTTTCCCACCATGAGAGTCAATGGTTACCGGTTTTCAGCATTCATCAAAATATCTTCTTTTGTGTTCAATAGAATAAGACTTATTTTTTAAACACTATGAAAGTCAATGGTTACCGGTTTTCAGCATTCTTCAAAATATTTTCTTTTGTGTTCAACAGAATAAGACTTTTTTCCCCCAGTTCCCACCATGGGACTCAATGGTGACCGAATTTCAGCATTCTTCAAAATGTCTTCTTTTGTGTTCAACAAAACATCTTTTTTCCCCCACCAAGAGTCAATGGTTACCGGTTTTCAGCATTCTTCAAAACATCTTCTTTTGTGTTCAACAGAAGAAACTTATAAAAGTTCAGAACCACTTAAGGTAGAATAAATGTAAATTTGTAGTGAACTAACCCTTTAAGTGAGAACATTAGTCTTGGAGTATGAGCTGCATAGAGTATACGTTATAAATTACCTGGGCCCTGCTGACATTACAGAGCACTTGACTTCTGTGCAAAATTCAGTGATTGTGCCATACAGCATGTTGATCTGGTTGAAAAAGTCCACCGCTAAAAAAACAAAAAACATAATTAAATGACACATAATTATGATGTATACTGTGTTTATCCTCAAAAGCATCTCCACAGAGACTCACTGTTGACAGCGATCCACTCATTGAGGTCTTCTCCCTCGGGCAGCATCACCGCGGCTCGCAGATTTCCGCTTCCCAGAGTGGCTTCTGCATGTTTGAGCAGCTCATACTGGTGAGAGCCTTCTGGGATGTTCTTCTTCGGCTTGAATGTCTTCGATGAACGGTTTCCGCTGAAATCAAATGGTCAGAAATCTAATTATACAGTTGAAGTATTAGACCCCCTGTATATTTTTATCCTCAATTTCTGTTTAACGGGAAAGACGACACATTTCTGAGCATAATAGTTTTAATAACTCATCTCTAATCACTGATTTATTTTATCTTTGCCATGATGACAGTAAATAATATTTGACTAGATATTTTTCAAGACACTTCTATACAGCTTAAAGTGACACTTAAGGTTTAACTAGGTTAGATGTTAGGGTAATGAGACAAGTCATTGTATAACAGTGCTTTGTTCCATAGCCAATCAAAAACAAATATTAGATATAATATTAGATATAATATTAGGCCAAAACAGTTCAGATTCATGAGAGTCACTAACCATAATAGAGTGAACGCTTATGATTTAATAAGCGTTAATTTGGGTATGTTAACATTCTTGAGGAACATTGATTGAATGTACACTGTCCCTTTTTGTAAAATAAATAAGCTGAAAACTAAAAAATTCATTTACACACCACTCGCATTTATCAAACCTTTATGAGTTTCTTTCTTCTGTTGAATATAAAAGATGCAGACTATTTTCTACTATGGGAGTCAATGGTTACCAGTTTTCAGCATTGTTCAAAACATCTTATTTTGTGTTCAACAGAATAAGTCTTTTTTCCTACTATGAGAGTCAATGGTTACCGGTTTTTAGCATTCTACAAAATATCTTCCTTTGTGTTCAACAGAATTTACATTTTTTACTACTATGGAAGTCAATGGTTACCGGTTTTCAGCGTTTTTCAAAATATTTTCTTTTGTGGTCAACAGAATAAGATTTTTTTTTCTAATATGGAAGTCAATGGTTACCGGTTTTCAGCATTCTTCAAAATATCTTTTGTATTCAACCGAAATGTGCTTTTAAGGCATGTGACTGTGAGCTTTTCGAAAGAGTTTAAAGCAGTGGTGTCCAAACTCCAGGGGTATCCTGGAGAGTTTAGCTCCAACCTTGTAGGACTCCCACTACAATTAGCTAATTCCTCAGACTTTTATTGACTAAGCAAAAGCTGCAAATAACCTTCACTTGTTGAGGTTGTACAATAATGATGTTCTCATGTCACACTCAGAGTCCCAATAAGCAGTGAACCAAACTCAGTGCACTTACTAGTGCCCCAAATTTATGCACATAACCTTGATTAAGACACATTTAAGACTTAAAGCATTCAGGAAACAAGATTTTTTTTATTTGATTTGACTTTCTTTATCTTTGGCTTCACCACATACTTACTCCAACATCCACATCATATATGTCACAAAAAGAGACTAAATACATTCAATATCATCAGATAAATCACAATAAATATGAAATTAACTCCATGCATACTTAAAACCCAGTATTTAAAATTCTAATGACACACATGACATGTCATGCACCTTTTTTATTTGAGGTTGTCTAAAAGGTCTTTTTGATGCCAAAAGGCATCTTTAATAATGACGTGCTTTCTGTATTCTAATTATTCATTCTTTTTGGCTTAGTCCCTTCATTAATCCGGGGTCGCCACAGCGGAATGTGGAGGAAACCGGAGCACCTGGAGGAAACCCACGCGAACGCAGGGAGAACATGCAAACTCCACACAGAAACGCCAACTGAACCAGCTGAGGCTCAAACCAGCAACCTTCTTGCTGTGAGGCGACAGCACTCGCAACTCTTTTGACCCAATTCTTATATACCATCTCCCAAATATGCTGACTCAGAGAACAAAGTGTTGTAACCTCCTACTGAAATATAATCTCTGTATTGCTTATTTAAAAGTACAATTGACATTTCCAGCAAACGTCAATTTATTATCAATAATTTTACTTAAATATTGTCTCTGAATATTCAGCTTATGTAGCTGAATACTGAATACATAAAGTACTGTTTATTTCAGTTATATCTTCTCGTATTTATCAATGATTTTAATGTGTTTATAGTATTTTTTTGTGAATAAACTGCATGTTAAGATATATATTTTAACCTTTACCTCCTTAATGTAAAATTAAATACAATAAATTCACAAATAAAAAACAAGTTCACAAACTAACTATATGTACAGTTAAATATCCACATTCAAGATTAGATTTTACATGTTATTTACAACATATGACAGACAATTTCTTGGCTCTGGTCGGGGGTACCATAATTCCTCGGCTGCTTACCTCGCTTACTGACCAAGCAATCATGTTAAAACTCACAACACTTTCGACCAAATTCTTATAAACCATCTGCAAAATATGTTGACTCACACTAAAGTGTCGTAACCTCCTAATAAGATATAATCTCTGAATTTTTTTAAATACATATGACATTTACAGCAAATGTCAATTTACTATCAATAAATGTACCTAAATATTGTCTCTGATAAATCGTTTTCTGGACATGAATACAGTCAGACTACCCATAAACCCATAAGTACTGTTTATTTAAATTATATCTTTGTTTTCTTGTATTTATCAATGCTTTTAATGTGTTTAATATTTGTTTTGTTAATAAACTGCATGCTAATATATATACATATAATCTTTATCTTCTTAATGTAAAATTAAATTCAAAAAATTCACAAAAAACTAACTATATGTAGAGTTCATTAGCCATATTTGTGATCAGATTTTATGTTCCACAATTCATTGGGGCTACTGGTTTTAAAAAGTAGTAATATCGTTAAAGTCTTAATGGTTATAGACAGATTTACAACATATGACGATTTATAAAAAACCTATAGGCTTCTTGGCCAAATTCCTCGGCTGCTTTCCTTGCTTATTGATCATGCAATCATGTTAAAACTCACAACACTTTCGACCAAATTCTTATATACCATCTGCAAAATATGTTGACTCACATAAAAGTGTTGTAACCTCCTAATAAGATATAATCTCTGCATTGCTTTTTTTAAAAAGACATTTGAAATTTCTAGCAAATGTCAATTTATTATTAATAAATGTACTTAAATATTGTCTCTGATTTATCAATTTATGTACCTAAATACTGTTAGACTGCCTATAAACCCCTAAAGTACTTATTATTTAGTTTATATCTTTGTTTTCTTGAATTTATCGATGCTTTTAATGTGTTTGTTATATTATTTTGTACATTAACTGCATGTTAATACATATATTGTAACCTTTATCTTCTTAATCAAAAATTAAATACAATAAATTTACAAAAACTATCTATATGTACAGTTGATTGGCCATTTTTGTGATCAGATTTTACTAATTTCATTTAAATAACGATACTTTTACTTTGTTTATTATAATTTATGCAGTTGCACTCCCATTCAGAATCATCTTAGTTGATTATTTGTTTCCAAATAGAGTTTTTAAAGCCATCTGGTGAGATAATATTCCTAATAATCTCCTAAAAAGAGAATATCTCAATGTCAGACGTACATGAAATACTAACAAACATGAAGGTTTCGTTCTGTTTACGCGCACAGAGGAACAGACAGACATGTCAACCGGAAATGCGGTTAACTGTTGCTTTTAAAGTTTAATGTTTTTCAGAACCAGCAAAAGTTATTTGCTCTACTTTAAAAGTCGGAGAACTTCCCCATGTTCATTCTTCCGATGATAAACAACAGTTTAGCGAGTAAATACATTGGGTTTAGTCAATATAACATGCTAATCAACTGTTGAATCGGCAAAAAATATACTTACAATAAGAAACTCATCTCCGCTTGTCCTTCTTCTTCAAAATAGAAACGTTTAAAAGTCAAAACAAACCAGTGACAGAAGCAAATTAATTCCTAAAGTCCATAAAACAGCGTTTATAAGTGCTCCTCGAAGTTCGATGTTTAGGCGAACGATATCAGTAGGCGTAGAAGAAGTAGACTCAGGAAATGTCTACGATTGGTTCTTTTCGAGTGCCAAGTGGCTAACGGATTAAACAGTAAATTTAGTGCGGAATTAAAAGAAACTTGTCGGTTATTTGTACTAAATGTTGTTAGGATTGCACAGCACTTGTTTCAAAACGAAACTAAACAATTATCTTTAAATACAACTCCTTGCAGGCTCCTAAACGCTGTGGCTTATCCGCGCATGCGCGTTTCGGCTCAAGGGGCGGTAGTTTGTCATCGTGGATGTATGATCATGTAATGACGCTTTAGCCACGCACAGGGCATCGGGGTTATAAGCTGCCACTAAATATTTAGTGTGCACACTTTTCTGCCTTTCCCCGTCTAGTCTGTTTAGTCTCGCATACGCGCGATTTAGCCGTTTGTGAGTATTTATTTAATTTAATCTTATTTATACACACACAATGGCTACACTCCGGGCATTGCGGAAACTCTGCCGGCATTTCCACCATCAAACATGTAGTTTTCATTTGTCATCTTCAAGGTAAGTGTCCTAATTAGCATCTATTCTCATTTGTGAGTGTAATAAACACGGGGTTAGCATGTTACTAGCACTAGCGTTCATCGCTCGCGTTAAACTGATTGTCATCGAAACTGTTCAGTCATTAACTCTTTATTAGCTTCACATATGTTGTAATAATATGAGTATTACAGTTTAATGTGTTTATGATGTGTGAGATCTGCGACTTGTTCTCGGGGTTTTAGTTATGTAACAAACGCCGGTTAATTGTTCGGATGGTGTGCGCGCCCCCGAGCGGCTCGCCGGGTCCTGGAGCTCTGGCTGATGTAATGTCAGAAAACGCTTGCACACACACACACACACACACCGGCGAGGCATCAGGTTTCTACAGGGACACACTGCTGCTAATTCAGTGCTCGTGTGTTGGGTTTCCTCTCTGATGATTTTACGCAATAGTATACGCATGATTGCTCAAATTTAGCACACACCCTTGTTCATTTCTGCCTCGTCGTCGGTGATTTAGTAAATTAATTTACAGGATTCTGCACGCATGACAGATAGTTCTCATGCACTTTATCCTCATTTGGGTCTGTTTTTGTATTTTTATCATGGGAACTAAACTTTAATAATGCACAAATACACAATGTTATAGAGATGTAACCATTATAATAAATAAAACAGATTTGAGACTGTCTCTAGATGTCAAATTTATGATTTTTTTATTAAATTATCTTTTTTTTGCTTAAGTTGCTGACTTATTTTAGTATCAGAAATCAAATAAAAAAAGATACCTCAGTTTTTTAGTTATTTTCACATATCATAAGTTGTACATTGAAGAATATGCTATAACTGCATACAACATGATTGATGGAAATTACCTAAGCAAGTTTGTGTAGGAAGGATTGGAGAGGTTCCTAAAGCCTCCTGAATTTGTCCTGAGGTCATAAGTTAATTTCTACAAATGAAGAAAGACTGACAACTGAGAGATTCACGTGAAAACGGGTTGGAATTTGATTGAAGTAGATCGTTTTAGTGCACTCTCAGAAAAAATGGTACATGCTGTACCAAAGAAGGTACAAACCCTTGTCAGTGCACTTTTTTATAGGATCGAACTGTACCTTAAGACAAAGAAACACATTTGTAGCATTGCAGATTGCACCTTTAAGCACATGATTTGTACCATGGGAAACCAACATTTTTTTTAAACCTGCAGATACAACATTTTATCTTCATCAAAGGTACAAATCTGATCCATGAAGGCACCACTTCAGTGACAAGACACTTTGTACCTTAACAATCTCAAATGTGTTCCTACAAGAACTTTTAAAAGGTATTTTCTATATCCAAAATGTGTTCATTTATTATAATACATAATAAATATAAAACAAATACATTTTAAACAATGTTTCAGTTTACAAACAAGGCTCTTTTTGTTTAAATGCCATTTACAATAAAGAATAAAAAATTCTTTAATAAATTAAAAGATCTATTATTTTCTAAACATTTCACAACACTTTTCACAAAATTGTTACAGCAGTAGCGCAGTACGTAGTGCTGTTGCCTCACAGCAAGAAAGTCGCTGGTTTGAGCCTCGGCTCAGTTGGCGTTTCTGTGTGGAGTTTGCATGTTCTCCCTGCGTTCGCGTGGGTTTCCTTTGGGTGCTCCGGTTTCCCCCACAGTCCAAACACATGCGGTACAGGTGAATTGGGTAGGCTAAATCGTCCGTAGTGTATGAGCGTGTGTGTGTGGATGTTTCCCAGAGATGGGTTGCGGCTGGAAGGGCATCTGCTGCGTAAAAACTTGCTGGATAAGTTGGCGGTTCATTCCGCTGTGGCGACCCCGGATTAATAAAGGGACTAAGCCGACAAGAAAATGAATGAATGAATGAATGAATGTTACAGCAGTACATTCTCCCATCTATAAAACTTTTTTCTCCAACGTTCACACAATACCTTTATAATCACTTAAAAGTTCATTTTAGTTACTTAATTGTACAAATAAAATAGAATTATGCAAAAGTATTGTAATGAGATATGCACAATGTTTTAATAGTTTTACAACACTAAAATGAATACTTTGCATATGCTGAGATATTGATTTTAAAAAAGCTATTGTATGACCATAAGTCTTCGTTTAGTCACAGCAGCACACAGCTTATCTTCAGACCACAGCTTTGACTCCCAGTGTATCTGGATTGCTGAGCAACGCTTGTATGAGCAGATAAGTTGCACAGGAAAAACTCGTGCTCATTCATATTTGTTCTAAGTGAACAGGAGCTGTTGCCAATTTCTAGGGTTGGGTCTTGTTCTGTAGTCAGGAAACTTCTTAGGGAGTCTGCTATTTAAAAGGGTTAGTTCACCCAAAATTAAAAACGATCCCATCATTTACTCGCCCTCAAGTGTATATGACTTTCTTCTTTCAGTCTAATGCTGCGTTCACCAGACCCAGATTAAGCATCAAAAGCGAGTGATTTACATGTTAAGGGAATGCAAAGACACGAATAGACATCCTACAGTGCGATTCGTGTGAAGAAGGTGGTGCGAATGACGCGATTCACACAAATGAAGTAGCACTAGTTGAGTGTTTTACACGTTAAAAAAGATTAACGTGCGAGTCGCTCGAGTTGGAAAATCTGAACTTCAGCAGACATTCAGGAGTGAATGAAACGACAAACTCAAAATGTTCACGCGTCTATTTATGCGCTAATTGCGCATGTTGTGTCCAGTGAAAACACAGCAAAAGTTATTTAGACAATTTTAGATTTGGCCTTTCAGGCTCCATTTACAAGTCCAAAGAAGTCAAATAAAGCACATCTATCCATAATAAAAAAAGTGGGGATGCACAGAAATTAAAATTTTGGGGCAAAACCAAAAGACATTATTTACCCCTGAGAGCAGTACGAGGCACTTTTCTACTATGGATTCACTTTATTTGCCTTTTTATAATAAAAAAACATTGTAGAACTGGAAATATAATATAAAAATAATTATATAATATAAAAATAATATGTAAATATAATATAAAATAATTATAAAATATAAAAATAATATATAAATATAATATAAAATAATTATAAAATATGAAAATAATATATAAATATAATATAAAATAATTATAAAATATGAAAATAAGATATAAATATAATATAAAATAGTAATATAATATAAAAATAATATATACATTTAAAATAAAATAATGATATATTATAAAAAAATAATATATACATATAATACAAAATAATTATTTAATATAAAAATAATATATAAATATAATGTAAAATAATTTTCAAAATGACTTGGACTAAAGTGGACTGAAAGAAGAGAGTCTAATACACCTAGGGTGCCTTAAGGTAGAATAAATAATGAGATCATTTAATTTTTTTGCGTGAACTAACCGTTGTAGACCTGTCTCAATCACAAAACCCTTTTAGTGCAATGAAACCTTCACTCCCTAAAAAAGTCCAAAAATGCACCATGAAAATCAGGAAGCATTGATGATCACTAGGTTCACTATATGGAAGTTGAAAATCGTGAAACACCTCCCCAAACATATCGACACACAATACACTTAGTTATTTAGTTAAATGTAACCATAATCCAGCATTTTTAGAACGTACAGAGCAATCTAGCATACAAGTATAAATGATAATTGGTTGAAAAGTTGCTGTTATGCGAACCAGTTACTTATATTATACTTGTAAATACCCTAGTTTTTTTACATCAAGGATATATTATACTAAAATACCACATAATTTACTGTAGTTCAAACTAAAGTATAAGTGCAAGCCTGGATCACTGGTGATCGTGACAGATACAGTATTTGATAGTTGATCAGTTTAATAAAGGGATAGTTCCCACAATGTTTACATTCCCTCAAGTGGTTGCAAACCTTCTATATATTGTACACAAAATCAACATTTTGAAGCACGCCAAAAACCTGTAACACAAATACTATGCAAGCCAATGGTTACAGGTTTTCAGAAACTATCTCCTTTTGTGCTCAACAAAAACAAAAAGAATCGTATAAAGGTTTGAAAAAAGTAAGCGTGACAGAACTTTTTATTTTTGGGGAAGCCATCGCTTTTAACACTATACAGTGTGCTGGATCATACATTAACAGTTGTGTAAATGCTATAATAGATACAGTATAATTATTAGAATAGGTTTTTTATGGATGTGGGCAATGAGGATCCTCTCATGCCCTTTAGTCCTCTTTTCTTCCAGATAAGAGGCTGTTGTCAAATGCAAAAAGTATGAATATGCATTTCATCCTATTCATATAGCGCAAAAACGCTTCTTAATTGGTGTTTTTGTCTCATTTTTAGTCTAAATTTCTAAATAAATAAATAAATCAAGAAGCATTTTCTAGACAACAACAAATATGTCAAAAATAAGTGAGTTTTTTTTTCTTAAAACAAGCAGCGTAATCTGCCAGGTTAAGTAAAACAGTCTTATTTTCAATCCTCCTTTGTTCTCCAGACAAGATGCTGTGGTGATCTCCGGTCGGAAACTGGCCCGTCAGATCCGCAATGAAGCACGTGATGATGTGGAGGAGTGGGTTTCTGCTGGAAATCGACGGCCTCACCTGAGTGTGGTTTTAGTAGGTGACAATCCAGCCAGTCACTCTTACGTCCTCAATAAGACCCGCGCGG